TCATGCACAATCTTACCTTTGTTTTCTTTCACTCTGCCTTTCACAAAAGAGCATTATGCACAGGCATGTCATTGCATCTAAAATTATTTAATTCTGTATGGAAGTTACTGGTGTGATAAAAGGAAAATTTTGTGACTCGTGACTAAATGCTGCAGCTTGTGGAATATGGAAATACCTTTTCTTTGACAAGACTTACTTTTACTGACTTAATTACCAGTTGCTCAATATCACATCAAGAAGGCTGGGATGAAAGTCCTCTCTGTAACAGCTGACAAAACCAGGTATAGCCAGGAAGATGTGTGCACTGGGATCAGTTCCAGCCGTTTGATGTTTGGCTGTGAGGATAATTAGACTTTCAGCAGGTTTTGCCTCATGCTGCATTTTACCCTGGGACTCTGTAATTTTAACTTTCCTCAGCTGCCGAGCAATGCTCAGGTGACCAGGGAGGGGGCTATTGTTCAGCCCCAACTTTGACTCTTGGGGACAATGCTGTGTTCTCACTCAGAGCATCCCTCTGAGTAACTAGCTTTCTCAGGAGTATAGTCTTTACATGATTTCTTTTTCCAGCATCCCTTTGTGTGGCAGAACTGTGCCCGTAACTAGCATCCCAAAATCCAGAACAGGAAAAGAACACATTTTTAGCGTCTCTTAGTAACAGAGTTATAATTCATATAAAATACTGAGTAAATGCATTCATTTGCTGAAGGTTAGGCAGGTTAAGTCCCTGCTAATGCAATTCAAATAAACACACAATCAAGGAAATGCTTGTAGTTTATCTGTAAGAGAGAGGACAGTGTGGTGCGTTGTTCTGGTAAGGAGGGAGAAAATGAAATCTGAATGTTGGTGCTTTATCTCTCTGTGGGCTGAGAAAGTGTGAAAGCAATGCATTATTTCTTCCTTCTGCTTTTTCTTAGTCTTTTAAACATGTTTTAAACACCACATTTCTACATAGCAATTGTGATATGTGTGAGTGACTGCAAGGGCTCCAGACACGTTCTTGTGATGGCATCACCAGCCAGCATCCCCTCTCACCTGCTCTGTCTTGGTCTGCCACTGTCCTCAGGTAGCACCACCCTCCACCCTGGCTGAGGTATGAACCATCTGGACCCTAAAAATGAGCTGTGGTACATGGAATATTATAGTACCTAAAGCATCTTACAAAGCTGTTTTATATGCCTAGTAGGAAAACACATGTCCAGCTGTGCCCCTTCTCTCACCAGATGCTGATGTACAATAGAGAAGGAAATGTTGATTTTAAATAAAGAACAAAGAAGCAAACCTAACCCAAGCTTACTCCAGAGGATTGAATTCTTATTTTCAGTTACACTTCCTTATACTGTGGCAAGTGTTTCCATGAAAGCACATTTGAATAATTGGTTAATAAACTTTCTTTAAAAAAGTATCAATTGTGTACATTCCATTTGTTCTGAAAAAGCCTGATTGCAGTTCAACACTTCTCTGTTAGTCCTCTGCCATTATAATTTTACAAGATGTTTATTACAAGTTTATTTTATTAAGAAATTCACTAGTGCTATAAAGTTTATTTTCATTTGAATTTAACTTCACATGTTATCAATGTTCTTCTATTTTATTTATTTATGCAAAAGTTCCATTAAGGATAATTCTCTAAATGTAATTATGTTTATTTGTCAGTTTTTTTTAGAAGAATAATATTTCATCTCTTAAAACTGTATATAAAACCATAGGGTCACTAAGGTTGGAAAAGACCTCTAAGATCCTCGAGTCCAACCATTAACCCAGCACTGTCAAGTCTACCACTAAACCACGTCCACAAGTGCCACATCTACACATTTTTTAAATGTCTCTAGGGATGGTGATTCCACCACTTCCCTGGGCAGCCCGTTCCAGTGCTTGACAACCTTTTCATTGAAGAAGTCTCTTCTAATATCAAATCTAACCTCCTGTGGTGCAACTTGAGGCCATTTCCTCTTGTTCTGTCACTTGATGCCTGGGGAAGAGGCCAAACCCCACCTGGCTCCAAACATCCTTTCAGGGAGTTGTAGAGAGTGATAAGATCTCCCCTGAGCTTCCTTTTCTCCAGGCTGAACAGCCCCAAGTCCCTCAGCCTCTCCTTATAGGATGTGTGCTCCAGATCCTTCCCCAGCTCTGTTGCTCTTCTCTGGACATGCTCCAGCACCTCAATGTCTTTCTTGTCACGAGGGGCCCAAAATTGGACACATGATTTAACGTGTGGCCTCACCAGTGCTGAGTACAGGGGGACAAATCACTTCCTTGGTCCTGCTGGTCACACTGAGATACAAGCCAGGATGCCCTTGGCCTTCTTGCCCACCTGGGCACACTCTGGCTCATATTCAGTGGCTGTTGATCAGCATCCCCAGGTCCTTTTCCTCTGGGCACCTTTCCAGACACTCTTCACCAGCCTGTAGTGCTTCCTGGGCTTGTTGTGACCCAAGTGCAGGACCCAGCACATTGCTTTGCTGAACCCTAAATATGTAGTTATACATATAAACATGTATTTATTCCCATTCATAGAACTTTCTTTCAGAAAATGTATTTAGAATTGCAAAGAATTCCTGCCCTTTATAACATTCTTTCTTTAATTCTTCTTATCAATATTTTGCTAAGATCGGTACTAACACCAGAAAACTTCCTGAAAAGAATGAGCATTAAACTTTACAAGCATTCACTTTTACTGTTTTCAGTAAGAATATTTTGTATATTTGTTTGTCTAAAGCAGGCAATACTTTCTTTTGAAGTTTCTGACATTGTAAAACTTTTATGAATTCAAGCATATTCTTAGGGCAGAAAAAGGAGAAAAACTGAAAAAAAGGAGGCATGGGAATTGTGAAAATATGAAGGGATGAGAGGCATGAAGTCCGAGTGGTCTTCTTTGTTATCTGTGTGTTAGATACATCACACGAGATATTTACAGACCCTCACGCTAGTGTGCACTGCTCCTTTGGGGCTTCCAAAGATGTTAGTTTGTGATCAAGCATTTGGCATTTGTAAATACAGAGTCTCATAAAGCTTTGATAAGATACAGAGAAGTTGTAAATACAGAGTCTCATAAAGCTTTGATAAGATACAGAGAAGTTGCAGCTGTCCAGAACTTACTTAGAAAAATATTTATTGACCTATCCAGCAATTTTATTTCTGTTAGGATATGTGCCAGACACATAACTGATCCCATCAAATCTGCCAAAACATTCATAGCACATCTCACATCTTTTTTCGTGGTTCTTTGTCGTATTCTGCTGACCATCTACATCTGGCACAAGGAAACAGGATAAAAGCTGTGGTGCTGTCTCAAGCACACCAGGCCATCAGCCATCATCTTAGAGAGCAATTTCTTTAAAGACAGTCTAGCTCTCCTGCTGCTCTGTGCCATGGGACTTGGCATTCCTGATTCCATCCATTCTCTGTGCTCAAAGAGGATGCTTTATGTTAATCAAGTGATCATTTTACTCTGGTAAGTCTTAAAAATCAAAGCATCTTGAGAAGATAGAGAAGGATACACTGAGAAACTTCCAGTCCTGACACTGTTGCTTAAGCTATATGGATGCATCAATATTTACCCTTTCTAAACTGTTAAGTCTTAAGTCTTACTCTGCTTAGGAGGAGGACAATTATATAAGACCTCAGAAGTCCCATATAAACATAAGCATAGCTTGTTGGAGGGAAAAACTTCCTGGATATAAGCAGGGCTTTGTCTGAGGATAGGTATCACACCTTGTTACCATTTTAGAATCTGTTTCTTAAAAGATCAGACTCAGTGCCTTACTGAAATCTAGTGATTTGTCAGGCTTCTGTATTTGGGTGACAGCCAAGGGGAAATGTTAATGCAATACATTTCAGTGCAGGTGAACAAAAGCTGAGTGGTTCACCCATTGCATCTGTGAAACACCATTTAAATGTCATTGCTGTGGCTGCTGAGCAGCTGCTCTTCAGTTCAAGCTGGGACATTCACTGCTAAGTCATCAGTGATGATGTGGGGTAATGTTGCCTATAAAATTTATTTGAAGTACCTTTGTGTTTTTCTCAAAAAATATGTAGGGAATAGAGAAAGTGCTAGTGTTGTACATAGTCTTCAGAGCCGTGTGGAAAACCGAACCCGAGAGATTCAGAATTCCAGGCTCTGGTGCATTGGTTTAAAAAAAACAGACTGTCAATCTTTGGACAAAGTGATAGAACTTGGCTGTGAAAGCCTGGTACTCATCCCGTTTCTTATTGATTTATTATTTTCATTTGAATAAATCCATTTAAAACTAACAAACTAACTCAAAAAGCATCACAACATGATGTTGCAGTACTAAAGGATTTTTTAATTATCCTCACTTTACAAGGATACAGAAGTGGGATAAGACACAGAATAAATGCTGAATAATTTTTTACTTACCACAAAAAAAATAAGAAACCTTTTCTAGGCTGTATTTCAAGTGTTGAGCAGAGCAGGTTCTTTGGTGACAGCCAGGAAGCCACAGGGAATGCCTTGAAATGACCTCACTGAGTCCAGCTGCTTTGTGAAGAGGTGACTTTTGATGTTTTTCCCTTCCTGTCTCATTCAGACACAAGACCACATAGAAATGCTGCAACTCAACCAAGGGCAGAATTCAAGCAATTTCCCTGCAGAGGATATTTCGTTCACTCATGTGCCATTACTGTGTTCTCTATATATTTTGTTTGCAGTTTCATAATATTTTAGCATATTATTGTCTCTAAAATGAATGTATTTTCCCCCAGTTTTCATTTCCCCACAGACATATGCTCAAAGCCGTGTAAGTCACATGGACACTAAATCAAAAGAAGTCACAAACAGTGGGATCTACTGTGTACTGTATTAAAACAGGACTAGCTGTGGAAGCCAGACAAAACCTACTTGTAGCTGTGAGTTCAGTCCTGCCTAGATGAAGTCAAAAGGGTCTTTGTCAATGTCTATGCTGGGAGTACATTTGACAATGTGTTCTTTGAATATGCGTGAAGATATTGTGATTTAAATGAAAATAAATCCATCCACATCATAATTGAAATTTCTATTTATTAATAAGTGGTGCAGTTTTTAAAGACAGAACATAAAAAAATCAGTTAAGAAGTATTGTTTGCATAATATATTGAAATAAACATATTAAAGTTGTTCAAATATTGGACAGTGCCAGAATAGAAATTACACGTACTGTTTAAAAATTACAATAAATAATATTATAAAGAGCACTAAAGGCCACTTGTATAAAAGTTGTGTTCCCTTGTCAGCCAGAATCTGAAAAAGCATCTTTGTAGCATGGAGAAAATTTCAGTGAGCAAGGCACAAATACTAGTAATAATAAGATGCTATAACTAGAAAACAAAATGCAGTTGGCTATGTAACCTTCAGTCCCAACACGTTCTCGGCGATGGAATAGGATCCCACTTTCAGTATTTTGTTTCACTTAACTTCAGAGGGAAGCTACTCAAAGCTGAATTTGGAAGAATCAATACTTACAGCCTAAATAATCAGAAGCAAAACTGATACCCAGGATCTTTATTCCCACAGTGCCCAGCTAAAAACACTTGAAAATGGCCCCTTATTCCTCTGTACCTCTGAAAATAGTCTTCCAGGGTGAACATCCACATTCAGCTGGGCTCCTGAAAAAGTGATATCCCACCAAATTCAGAAAATTTAGGTTTGCCCTCTTAGGCACCTAAAGCATGGTGGTGGGGGCTGTGGGGTGCAAGGAGTCAAGATCCAGCTCTTTCTCACCTGCTCTTCAGTAAAGCAGTACGAATTTAGCTCTTACCTAAGCAGATATGACACCTCTGCAGCAACTGGGCTCCCAGCAAGGCCGAATTCACTCCTTACTCTGAATTTTCTGACTGCTTTAGGCTGTGATCTTGCAAACTGGTTGGACCTCGGTGCTCGCCTGAAGGCCACGAGGCAGCGGCCCCGCTGAGCGCAGGTTCAGGTCGGGTTGAGTTTGTGGTGCTCCTGGGCCACAACTTGGAGCAGAAAAATTTTAAACTACTTCCACTCTGAACCGTAACAATGCAGCAAAGTTACAGATAAAAACAGAGCAAATATAGCCGAAGTCAGTTTAGGGACTTTTTAATCAATCTCTCCACATGTTGAATTTCCTTTTATTTTGATGGGAGCCAAACTGATTAATTCAGTGCAGGGAAAAGCCAAGGCAGCGACAACAGCCATTACCCGACTAGACCTTTTTTTAAAGTTCTCCTTAATTAGAGCATAAACCACACTTTCTATACCTGCATACTTCAACTGAACATTCCCTTCTGCCTTAATCAAGTATTCCTACTTTGAATCTAAAGTGAGGAACCTCAACTGACAATAATGCTGCAAAGAGAGGCACACAATGTAAACACAGATTCACCTTTTTGAAAACTTTCAGATGTGTGGCATTCACTAGGGACTGAAAATCAGGCTAAAATGTAGCCCAGAAAAATGTTTCCAGATCAATGCCGTCTATCATACAGAAATTCACAAATAAAAGCAGGTTAGGACTCAGCCTTGCTCCCACTGCATCAGTCTGAGAAGGTTTCTGACTTCAAGGAGAACAGAGAAAAGCTCCACACTTTGTGATTATGAAAAATATCTCAAGGACTGAATTAAGAGTCATCAAAGAGTGGATTCCAGTGGTCAGTTCTCTTTTATATTAACCACATGTAAACAAAGTGTCAGTTGATATGCTAGAAAGATCTGACCCGAAGAGCATTGGTAGCTCTTAAACTGAACCATCACACAGAAACAGAAGGAATAAATCTAATTCATTCCTATTGTGAAGACTATTGTTGACCCAGACAGCTCTCTCCAATGAAATTGTGAATTGCATGTGGAAAAAGATCCTGACCTTCTAAATGTTACCAGGGTCTCACATAGTTTATTTTGTTTTGTCCAGTATCTATGGCAGGCACATAAACTGCAGTTCAAAGGTGGATGCACTCTGTGGACTCATCTGAACTACAGTCTGATGAAGTTCATGTGCACATCCCAGACCAGGGATGGTCTCCAGATCTCCCCTGGTTGGTGACACCTTGACACATTGTCTGTGGTCATCACAGACAGCAGAACTGATGCACACCCTATTTTTAATCCAGATGATGTAGAGGGCAGAGAGCTGCTAAGCACATCACCCTTCTGAACAGAGCAGCGACTGGTTTCAGTGTGAAGAAGTGTGTAGGAAAAAATAAAATAAGCCAATCAGATCTTCCTTGTCCCATTTCTTGGGTCTTCTCCACAGATTCCACAGATGTCCCCTGCAGAGGGTCTTGTTGAGTTTACCACCAGTGCTTTTTGAGAAGAGGCAGACCTCATCTGGCCAGTTAGCAAATCATTAAATATTTCATGATGTGGCTGCTAATACCTGACCTGGTGCCTTTAAGCTGCATATAGCAAATTGGTGATGACAGGCCATAAAAAACACTGACTTAAAGGCAGTTGAGCTGGTAAGTGTGTACACTTACCAGAGTGCAGGGCAGCCCAAATCCTGCTTTCTCTGGGGCTGCACTCTGTGCAGGTGAAGACTCATCCAAGCCTCTACCCTTGCTTGGATTTTCTCTCGGAAAGAACATACCTTTATAATGAGGCTATTTATGGATTTTCAGCCAGATTTAATAGTAAGTGAAGATTCCTTTTATATCACCTGGCATGGGAAAGAATAGAAACTCGAACTGAAGAATTTAAGTGGGAATTGGACAGGGAACTGCATGGCACAGACACTGTCAAAGACAGTCACAAACAAATTTCTCAGATTGTACCTGCTTTTTGGCTGCCTTGATTTTTGATTGCTCCAATCTAGAAAGCATTTTAAGAAGGACCAAACTCAGATGAAATCAGTAGGAATGACAGGCCCTTGACAAATAAGCAGGCTGGTCTAGCATACACTTACACCAATTTCAGAAGTGTAGCAATGTCAAAATCATTTTTCATTGTTTTTCATTCTCTTGTTGTGTGAGGGTTAAATCTCATGATTTGCCACAGGCATCTATTCCTATATCAGAAAGCCTGCAGCAGGTGCAAACCAGGTACTTCCAAGAATCATCAAAGCCCAAAGAATTCTTCTCAATATACCAAATTATAATGAGTTTGTGAGTTAGTTTTATTCTCTGCAAATTTAGCCACAAAAATTGCACCAAACAGAGATTATCTTTCACGTCAATGGCTATTCTGTCAATTAAGTAATTACCAAAATTGTGCCTCATGTCGTCATAGTTACCAGCCTCAGAACAGCTCCATGGACTCAGGCCAGTCTTCAAAGGCTGTAACTGGTCTGCATTATTTACTCCACTAACAACAGCAATTTGTTCTCCCTGAAGATCCATCCCAAAAGGATGCAGCATGATTTAGCAGAAGCAGATGAAGTAAGAAGATCCTAATCCTTTAGATGTCTCTTCCAATACAGAATAAATAATGAAGATGAAGGCAATGCCTACATCTGGAAAGGAGAAGAAGCTCCCTGGATGGAATTACTGTTAGGAGATGTCAACAATGCTGAGGAATTGAACATGAACTTTTCCTATGGTGGGCAAAACCCAACAAAACATTTTTTATTCAAGTGCACTCTATCCAGGGCTGTTCAATACCCAGTAACTACTGGGAAGCCCAGTAACGTGTTCTTGTGCTCTGACTGGGTGTGCAAAGGATGCTCAGTTATGCAGCTGCAGTATAATACCAGCAGTCACTACAGAAAGACCACTTTCTAACATCTTACATGAACCAAATGCTTGTGTCTTTGTTGGTCAGTGCTCTGGCAATTGTGTGGAGTGACAGGTGTCGTTTTGACAGGAGCCATGACAGAGAGGCTGCACCTTGGATCAGTGGGGTAGAGGTGAGAGCCTTCCCACTCACTGTGGGTGTCTCTGATCATTTGACATCGAAGTAAGTCACCCTCTACTCCCTGTGAAGCTGGTAGTAATTTGGTCATTGTAGATAATTGAGTTAAAGGTGAGATTAATCTCATCCTAAAGCTGACGTGTGCCTTGGTTCTTGTACCCTGTGCTCACTGACTGCAGTTTAATTTCCCACCAGCTGTAAAGAGTGTACAGCCATCAAACTTGAAATCAAATGGATGTTATTTTATGGACACCTTGATTGACACAGGTAAGACCTGCATAGGATATTCAGATAGGCTTAGTTTCACTAGCTTTTTAGGTACTACATTCCCGCTGGTGAGATCTTTGATTTGTTTCTTCCCAGTGGGTTGAATGAATTTCCTGCTCTCCCTCAATATAATATCCAATTTCTGTGAAAATAATATTTGGCCAAGGCTTAGGGAGCATCCTGACCCCTCTGCTGCTCAGGGACAGGTGACAAAAATGGTGTTTATTTATTCATACATAGATTTTAAATATGGCAAACATTCATGGATTTGGAGCAGTCTATTTCCAAGAGAAGCAGTAAACAGAGAGAAAGAGATCCTGGCAGCATCTCACACTGTGGGACTCACAGAAGACAGAATAATGATGTTCTGCACATCTGAGGAGCTCAAAGCACTTGGCAAATATTAGTGACTTGAGCCTTACAACCTGCATTTACGTGTGGAAGTATAATTCCCAGTTAACAGACTGGGAAACTGAGGCAGTGTTACATTATGCATCTTACTTAGCAGCACACAAATCAGTAAACGAGTGGAGTGTATAAACCTGGACTTCCCTACACTGAATAACCTTATTTTTGGAACAGAAAGAAAATTTGGCCCCATAAGTAACAAATCGATTTAGCGAAAGATTTTCTATAAAATAGCATTGCAGTCACACTTAGAGCAATTTTATAAACACTAGTGAAGACTTTCAAAGTAGTTTGAGGGATTTATATTTACATTTTACAATAAATAAATAGCTATGATCAATCCCAGAAGGTGGTTTTGATGATTTAAAATTCTACCCTTAACTTAATTTCAACATTATATTTCAGGGGTAATTATATAAGAAATCACATGAGAAACACTTAGTTCAGAAACCCATTTCAATAAGGTCATACTTTGTCTCAGCTTTTTCCCTGCTTTTGACATTAGAAGTTCTTGGCTAGGTTGGTTAGAGATTGACTTATACTGAAAAATGATTAATACATTATGTTTCCACAAAGGGATATTGTTCCTGAAAATATTTTTACTTTGCTGCTCTGTTTACAAAATATAGCAAGGACCACCATATCTTGCCTGTTATCAATTCACCATTGTTGTATTGAAGAGTATCAGATAGATATGTATCATAGAAGAAATCAGCTGTACCATTTATACAGGGTAAAGTCATGCAAACCATGCTCAAAACTAAGCTCCTTAGTTTTGGTAGCATGAAAAAAACTGCATTATTAAATCGTATGAAATGGTGCAGAATGACTACCACTAATATCACATGCATCTTATGCAGCCATTGGTGTTTGGAACTAGTAAGCTTTGGGTGTAGAGTAAGTGAGATATACAAAGTATGCTTACATTACACGGAGAAGTCAACCAGTGACTGCCCCCACACGCACTTTTAGACTGGCTTGTTCGAAGGGGTCCATATTGAATCTGAAATCCCATCTCCTGTAGAAGACAAAGGCATGGAGCCACTTGGTGTGAAAGGGTCTGTGTCTGTGTCTGTCTCCCCCTCTGCTAGGTAGCGTTTCTCTCTCATCCACGCCGATCCCCCGTTGGGGCCAAAGGGGAAGTCGTCTCTCTCCTGGGAGATACTGAAGCCACTTGGGGAGCGCTCGAGTTCCTCATGGTTGACTGAGAGAAGGGACAAGGGAGTGTCACTGTCTCTTGTTAGGCTCCTTCTCTGCCTTGGAGACACCTTGTCTGAGTAAGGGCTTTGTAGGTCTCCTTGGGAGTGGTAGCTAACCTGGGAGTCCATCAGCGTGAATATAGGCAGGACTGTTGGCCTTTCTGCATACGAAGCTGAGGAAGGTGTGGCTTGCAGTTTGCCAGAGTTTTGCCCACCTGTTGATAAAGGTTGTGAATGAGTCGTATGACCTCGTGCTGAGAAACCATAAGGACTGACTTTGTTGACTGGAACCTGCTGGAAGTTGTAAGGAGTTTCACGAGCACACTGCTCAGTGTATTTATATATTATTGTTTTTAATTCAGAATATTTGTTTTCTTCTCTCTTCTCCCTTGCAGGAGAAGCAGTTTCTTTCAATGGACTTATCTCGGCGACTTGTATTTGCAGCTGTTCCATATGATGCATATGCATATCAACAAGAAAATCCAGTTTCTTCCCCATGTCATTTACCTGAAAAATACCAATGTCATGACATTGCCTCAAGTCAGTTGTTCAGCAAGAGAATCCACGCTTCCATACATGCACTGCCTCCAGCAATGGTGTGTGATCTTTATTGATCATGAAGGTAATTACAGGATAATCATGACCTTCCCTCACAAGCTGGACTGCAGTGAATGCCAGCTTATCCTCTAACTGCCTCAGAATAAGAAGACCTGTCCCTATGAACTGTGCCAAAAAAATTCTTAGTGTAGCTGGATATTTAATAGTCCAGTGTCCACCAGCAGTCTACAACATTATTACAAAATCTTGATACCATATGGTAAATAGCCATTACCAAAATACAACATATGGAAGTACCTCTGCAGACAGACCTATTCTCTAACTCTCAACAGTCCCACAACATCAGGGTTACATTTCAGGACTCATTCCCTTTCTCTTTTGATAGGGCCCAAAAATACCTTTGGGGGCAATCATTTTGAGTGCCAGACCCTGCAGAAGAAGGGGTTGCTCACAACAGAACATCAGGTGTGATGAATATGGTGTTTAGGAAAATGAAAAAGTCCCACTTAAACGTCATGGTTAGGATCTTCTGCCATATATAATGATATTGATTCAACAGGTTTCAAAATGCACACATCCCAGGTAAGTAAATTCTATCATGAAAAACTAACAACGAGCAGCCAGAGTCATACAGAATTTATGTCAGCTCTACCATTTCTGTACAAGCACCTCAGCCTCCATCATTGTCATGAAATTACATACCTGTCGTTCAACTTTGACAAATTTGCCCATCATACTTTGGTCTTCAGTGTCTGCTGTAGATGCTTTGGCTACATACGGATCATTTCTACAAGGAATTAATAACTCTAATTAGTGTTCAATTTTTGCATCGCATTAAGCAATTTCTATCAGAAACAATTCACATCTTGGTGATGCATTCTTATAGACCCTCGGAGACCATTTAGTTATTTATCATAAAAACAAGAGTAAAAATTCTGTGTGATTCTAATTCAGTTCTAAAAATTGTACTCTTGATTTTTAATTTATTTTTTTTCACGATTAAGATAAAAATTAAGAAAAAACAAAAGCAAAAAAAAATTAAAATAATGTTGAAATTACTCTCTGACTTGGTGGAATAATTTCAGGTTTGTGACAAATATCGAGATAGTCTAGTTAGTGGGTCTGCAGATGGCCATGTGTTTTCAAATCTAATTCTTTATAATTAGTGTATTTAGAGACTGAATCTGAGTTTCAAGGATGAGTATGGTTTTTTTCTCGATTTCATTAAACCAAATAATAAGTGGCAGAGACTGGAAATGCTGAAAAGAGGCAGTCTGGCAGCAGATTCCAGAATGAATTTTCATCTATGCAATTTCTTCCTTCCTGTCCACCATATGGACAAACTTCAGGAGGTAAGAAGATGATCTCTAACTAAAGAGCTTTGATTTATAACTTCATGGGAGCTAAGCTGCTCATGATCAAGTTAAAACTTTATCAAATGGTTTCTAAACCAACCTCAAAGGAATCTGTGTCTTCCCATAACCTATGCCAAAGTTAAGGAAAACAGTTTCTAAGCACTTGCTCTTTAACATGAATTGTAGCAAATACACTGTAAAACTTTTAACAGGTCCAGTTCTTCGCCTTCTGACAAAATCCAAAATATAGCTGTGATCTACCAGAGCAGAAACTATAACTAAAATATGTCAGATTTTCCACATTGAGTTACTGGTGATATGGGCTCATTCAATTTTTGCAATCTGCTTTGTTTCCCAAATGATCACTGTCTCTTCCATATGCTTATGTCTCTCTCTTCCCATTTACATGGGTTCAGATTTTTTCTGGGTGGATAATTTATTTTCTGTAAGATTGCTTTTGTTCTGAGCAACTACGACAGCTTTGGGGACAGATTGTTGATGGTCTTGTGTGGTTCTTGATGGGTATTTATTGACAGATTGATAGTTGTAAACAACAGAAGAAATGTCATTTATTATTGAATTCTTGCTACCAGGAATGCAGCAACACAATAAGATGCTGCAACTTTCACACCCAGAAACCTGGTATTACAATTTATTTTGAGCATCTCTCAGCAATCATTGTTTTAAAAGCAGCAGCATTAAAAATCTTTGCTTGGCATTTGGTAGGGGCCATAATGAAGCTTTTTTCACTTTGGGAAGATAACTAGTTTACTTTTGAACTATTGTTAATTTCAAGCTTTTAAGTGAGTTTACTAGTTGAATGTTAGAAATTCAGCACATCAGCAATCAAATGTGTGTAATTACTTTAAAATCATATTTCCGAACTGTGGAGAAGCTGACCTAGACAAATAAGAAGCCATTGCTTAGATTTCCATCAGACTTTGCTTTTAGGGAAGGTAATGACTTTCTGACTCAACATTTACCCACGTGCATATCTTACAGCAACATATGCTCTCAGTATCATCACTATAACTGTGGATGAATAAAGGTCATGCTTATTGGTATGAATTAACTTTTTATTTCTGTATTGGGCTGTGCTAAATACTAGGCATAAAAAAATTCACCTGGGAGACTGTTGTGAAGGGTAAGAAAAAGCTCCTCCTTTTTGGGATTTCTTATGCTTGGGAGTAGATGGAGGTCCAGGTGTAAAAATCATATCTACTCTGAAAAAAAGAAAAGTGCAACCGCATAAGTCCATCTCCAAATGCTAACACGTGACAGAATATGCTATGCATGTCTGAAGCAAAGATTCAAAAAGAAAGCAGGTGTTGATTTGGTAATATGTTGAGGGTCATGGTGTGTTTGTTCTGTTCTGGGTCCACAACCAATACACTGAATTGCAATTACGTGGTAATTTAATGGCAATTAAGTAATGTTCTAGCTCACAGTTTCCAAATTTCAACATTTGAAACACATGACTTCTTTTCCTTCAAAGGAACCAAACAGCATGATTGTCAAAAAATCCCCAATAGCAGCTGCTCTTAAAAATGTCAGGAGACCCATCGGGTTCTGTGCTGGATAATGAAAATCAGAACTTGGTGAAAGGTAGAATTCCTTAAATTCTTAATAAATCAAAGACATTCTGGCAGTTACTGTATCTAATTGTCCAGTAATATTTTTGTATTTACTATTTATTTTTTTTTTTTAGTTTAAAAAACATATCTTTAAATGAAGTTTCACAATGAATCCTACTTGACTTTTTATTTGGCACAAAAGCAAAAGGATTGTTTGGAAGGCTCCAGCACATTTAATTACACTCTTTTACTATATCAAAATGTTCTTTCATTTGGCATACCCAGCTGCTCAGGTGCAAGCAAGTCTCTGTTCTTTCAGCTCACACCCCAAACTGACCTGATACCAGTCAGCACTAGTGCACAGACCAGCTGCTTGTATGATCAGACAATCCATGCATTGCATGGCTTCACAGTGCCCCGTGGAGTTTTGAAAATGGAACTTGAAAAAGCTCAAGGCAAGCCTCACAAAGATAGCTAGATACTGGCCAGGCCCCCAAGCACTGCTGAGACATCAGTCCATGTCTCTTCAAACTTTTATGGCCCCTTGCTGTTCATAAACTCAACAAGTAGGATGCACCTCCCTGGTTGTGTCCAGTTGCAATCAGTGGAGATCCAGCCAACACGGTGAAGAAAATTTGTGAGACAGTAAGGGAGATTCAGATGATCACATGAATACATCTGGTTTAAGGAGGGATTAGATGGGCCATAAAGCACAATTGTGCTGGCTAGCTCTCTGTTAACCATAAGAAGACTCTCATGTGGTTTTGCAGGATTATGTTTTTTCTTCAAAGACCTCTAAAAAGGTCTGTATAGATGCAACATGGCTGTTGAAATTTTGCAGTTCTGCCACTGGTGATTCTTTATGGTGTTGCTGAGTTGAACACCAGGGCTGAGGCTGTGCTGTGATTCTTGCCCTGACTGCCTGGAACGTGACTCCATCCCCCAAAGCTCTGACATAACCACTGTGTGAGATGGACCTAATCATATCAGGCACTTTTAGTGCTGCCAGGAGTCAAGAGAGTATCTGAGAAGTGCTGTTGTCCAAAATCATGCAACACCTCAGTCTGAGGTAATGGAAGAATCTCTAGTATAAGACATATAGAACCTGCCATAGATGGTGCAGATTTCTAATATCATGAGCACTCCTCAACTTCCTGAGTTCAAGAAGATATTACTGCATTAAAAAATCTAAGCTCATGTGATGCAGAGCTCATTTTACAGAGTAACAATGGTGGTTCGTGGAACATAATTAAACAAATAAAGAAGTTTTTCTAGAGCAATAATAGTGAGGTAGGAACCAGACATGTTATATACTTGAAAAAGAGATAGAACAGTACATGGAAAATCACTTCGAAATAAGAAATTACAATGTCCAACAAAAGGACCAGAGCAGCCTTACAAAGCCAAGGTCTGAGTGTGCAGCAAGGGTTGCTCTCCCTCAGCCCATTCATGAGAGGAATTGTCTGTGTGGCATTTTGCTGCTCAGAGTGACTGGGGGCCTCAGGGAACTTGGACAGTGCTGTGCCGGGACTGAGCTAAAGAGCTACACACATGCACACACGTGCACTCAGGACCAGACAAGCTCAGGGCCTCAAGCTCTGACCTGTGCTCATGGCTCAGGGTGTGAGCAACACAAATTTGTGTAGACGTGCCTCAAAAGCACATTGCGATGAACCGATTCTGTGAGGAAACAACTGTGGGGGAAGATTGACCTGAACGGTCACAAAGGCCATTCTTTTTTCATTTATGTCAATTTGCACCTGAACGAAGGAGATGTGAAACCTTCTGTGCTGAGGCATTTTTGCACTTATATGAGATGTTTCACTTGGCACAGGTCAGCAGAGAATCCAGCCCAAAGAAAAGCTCATGTAGAGCAGCTATTTCTTTTATTTATCATCTATAATATACGGATAAAGGAGAGAAACTTGATCGAGATCAAATAAGGCAATGGTCAGGAAAATTCACAAGACTTTAATGTCCTTGTTCTAAATCTGAGCCAGTGGCCTCTTGCTGCAGTTATCCCTGCTAGCTACTCACTTGCCTTTTTATTTTGGGAGAAAAAGTTTTCTTATGGACCAGCTACACTATGCAAAGTCATAGCTTCCGGGTGACCTTACACAAATAGGCCGAGTATGCCTTTATTTCGCCAGCAAAGCTAAACATTTTCCCCATTAACCAGAAGATTCTTACCTTGCCTGAAGGTATTTTATTCTGGAAAGCATATCAAGATGCCCTGCTGAGTATTGCTCTATCACATCCTTTACATCATAAGGCCTCAAAGTCTCCTTGAATTTTTTTTTATAGAGACGAAACTGTAGTATTCTGCATAATAAACAGAAAAAATATTAATTATATAAACTTCATAATGATAATTTCCAGCTTCATCAAATAATTTATAAATACACTGGGTGTTTGGAAATTGAGCACGTTATTTCCAAACAAGTCAATAAAATATAAGAGAATCTCTAGCATCATATCACATTTGGAAATACTTAATAGTTGGCTTTTCATAATTAATAGGATAAAACAAATGGTTAAAAGCTACAGAATCTTATTTGGAGTTTGAATTTGAACAATACAAGCCATGGGAGATTTTGAAGCTGTGAAGTTGAAGTTGCTTTTTAATGCTTTGGCCCATTACAAAGCTAATTTATAGTATATGTAGTGCTGAATCATTTTCGTCTTGGGTTTCATTTTGCACCTGGGAGAATTTTGGATAGGAAACGCAAATTAGATATAAATGTGGAAGTTAGGAAGTTAGCAGCAGTTCAAGTTGTGAAGAGAAGAAAAATTATTAAAACTGTTTGAACTGTCCTGGAAGAATCAGCAGTATAACATTTTTCTTGTTGTTGTAATGATAATAATATAATTGCTGTTATTATTGCTATTATTATAAAATGACTTAATAATTAGTAACAGAATTCTTATAATAAGGACCACTGCTGGCCAGAGCACTTAAAAAATATTTGGCATTATTTTTCTTCATTCTTTTCTGTTTATACATTGTTTTAAACTGTTAAGTCTTGGTAGATTAAACAAACAGAAGAAACATGTTTAAAGAATGAAATTTTTATCTTCATATGTTTTAGGCTTGGGTTCTGGGGGTTTGTTTTCTCAGTAGTCTTCATGTTCTCATTGGTCTGAATTGGGGAATTCCTGTTATCTGTTAAGATTCTGACTTGTTTTTTATTTAATGTTGGTGGATTTTTTAATGTTTTTAAAATCTGCATAAACTTTCATTTAGCAAACATAATTTTATTATGACTCTTTAAGGGCTGCTGACTCTTCAACTCTGTTGCTTATAAATCTTTCAAGATTTCAGAATTATATCTATGCCTATTTTAGCCAAATCATATATGATAACAGCAAAACTATACATTAAAAGACATAAATGAAAAACAGGAATCACACTGTTAGCAATTTCAATTTAAAATCTCCTTGGTCATGACCCTGAAATCCATTAAATGGTATTGTCTGAAAGAATTACTTCCCATTAACATTCAAGGTCTGGATAAACTACACAAGAAAAAAAAAAATCTTGGCTCCTGATTGAGTTTAAAGGGAAATTGCATGAATCAATTAGATTTGGACAGGATGTGGGAAAGAAGTTTTGCAAAAGTAATGAGTAGCATGTCTCTGAGTTAGAAAGCAAGCGGGTATCAGGGAAAGAAAGGGAAAGCTATGGAGGACATAGAGATGAAGAAACTTCCAATGGGAGGGAAGCACGAGCAAAGCCTGTGGGACAAAGCTTTCAGCAGGCTTGAGAAAACTTGGGATTTTTAGTGGCTGGTTCTCCTGCACCCAACTGGAAGAGAACCAGGAGAGTATATACTATGGTTATATACAGATAATATATGGTTATATTTTTACAACCATCTTCCTTTAAGTTTTTCTTAGATGATTTTGGGGCACTCCAGACTTGCAGTATTTCACCTGGAAGGTGATAAGTCCCTGACCCAAAACTTAGTAACTTCTGGAATAAAATAAACAGCAATTGCAAGGAAAGCAGAGTATTTTCATATGGGAGCATTTTTCAAGGGAAAACAGAACACTGAGAAGTAACAGGGCATCAGTGAATGAATTCTATTCGCTTGATGTGCTAAGCACATTATCGAGACTTACTAGGAGTTTTCTAACCCCAGGGAATATCTCTTGTGACAGGAAAATAGAGGTGACACATGTCACAAGCCAAAAACTGCTGAAATGGAGACCTCAGCATCTATTAAAGATGATAGCTGAAAAGTATATTGCACACTCATATGATTGTAATTAAAGAAGAACAGAGTCAGGTCAGAATTTTTTGTTTAGTGAAAATTCCAGTTTAATACAAATATTAATCACTAAATTGAGTAATATATCATATTTATATAGTATTTTAATGAGGAACTGTATATGATATTACTTTATAATAAATATAATTATCTTGCAAAAATGGCATGGTCAATGTTATTGAAAAACAGTTTCCTTTCTGCATCTTTTCAACAGCCTTTGAATAGGGTCTGTCTTGTGCTTTTGAATGCAGTCAGAATTATCTATTCTATTGCATTTTAAAAAAGCAATAACAGTAACAATGAATCAACATGTAACAATATGGTAAAGTGATTTCCTGAAGCATAAACATTGAGGAAAAAAAAAAAAAAGGGGAAAAAAAAGAGAGGGGGAAAAAAATAGGCATTGAGGATCAGTGGAGATATTTACCTGACAGCTCGGATGGCTGTCTTGAATGTGGGGATCATATCTTCCATAAGAAAATCATTACTGTCGCCTCTGTCTTCTGCCATGGGTTCCCCTGTTCCTGCATCTGCAAATCAGGCCAAAAACCAGCTGTGTGAACATCTGACCACACAGTAATTAGAGGGATGTCTGTCTGACTAAAGCGCTGCTTAAAGTAAGTGCAATTTAGTAAAGGACCATCTCTTACATGTTCCTCTTTCGCTGTTCAGTTCTTGAAAGGGATTTAATAGTTCTGGGACATCTGTAAGTCACATTATTTGAGGGATCTCCTCTCAGATTCCAGCATTTCTGAAATATTAGGAACATATCTTCCTTTACAGTGGATCTTTGCCCGAATATTTTACGTAAAGGCTAAAACAGGTTTAGAAGCCACAGGCAAAGCTCTCCTTTCACTTGCACTGCTTGGAGCTCATGTACCTTCATGAAGAAGAATAGTCAAGTTTCCAGTGTGGACACCCAGACTATATCTATGGTAGTATGTCCAGCACTGATGCCAGCTGGTTCAATAAAGGAGAAACTGTTATTTAAAGACCATTTGGATGCTATAGGCAAGAAGAGGAAAATGTGTGGTCAGGGAAGCTGAGAGGGAAAATGCCCTGTGGACATTTTTGTCCTGTGGAGAGGAAAAATGTGTGGACACCCAATGGAAATCTGCTTAGGGGCAGAGGGCCTGGGGAGAGAGGAGGGGAAGAATACCTTGACTCTATAAAACAAGGTTTTATGAGATGGCAATAAGGAGATGTTTGAGATGCCTGGACACAGGTTAGTGCAGGGCTGGATGCAGTCTAGGAGGGAGCTACCTTAGGATAGCAGCCCTGCTGATAAACCGAGCCACGATGGCATGCGTTTTTTAGGGGATATACATTCACTGCCCAGCGTGCCCTCTTTTCCTAGGTCAAATAGGCTGATTGCAACACTGGCTTTATCCCATATCAATTGCTGTTTTCATGGATGGTTCCTGTCTTTTTTCAAGCACTGTGTTGCCTGGACTCCAGGATTCATTTCCTTGGGCTTCCCCAATTGTACCACGTAAAACCAGGTACCAGACGTGCTTACCCCAGAAAGTCACAAACCTTCAACAGAAGATGCAGAGGAACAAAGTAAAATGGGGAGAACAGGGGATGCACAGAAACAAACCAACACAGATGGGCTACCTTCTGAGCTTTGCCAAAAAGCGTACGCTTTCATTCGGAATGCAGTGCGAAAACGCTCCTTATTATTCAAGACAACATTCTTAGGTTCTTTTGAAGGACTTTCTTCAATGGCATCTACATTCAGAGGGGTAAATAGCTTTCCTTTAGTATTGGTACCACGAACCCGATCCAAGAGACCCAGCTTTTGGCTACAAAATAAGCAAAAGTAAACATTTTCCTCCTTTGTACACTATTAATTTGTTTTCATGGTGCTTTATGTATATAATGGGTTAAGTAAATGTTTTGTATACAAGGACACTGCTGGGGCTACCACAATAAATGACTGTCTTCATAAGCAACAGTTAAGCTCCACAGATAATTAAATGCTTTTTATGAGCACTTTTGTATAAATGTTGAAAATGTTAACAGATGGTTTTGCTATCCTCTCCGTGCAGGTATCATAGTGCTTCAGCTCATGTAGCATGCCTGAAGCACTGGTTTTAGTATTAGGACAAAAACACCACTACTGCCATGAGCAGGTTGCTCAAAGCCCCATCCAGCCTGGCCTTGAACACTTCCAGAGATGGGGTATCCACAACTTCTCTGAGCAACCTGTTCCAGTGCCTTGCTTCCCTCACAGTGAAGAATTTCTTCCTAATATGTAGTCTAAATCTTGCCCTCTTTCAGTTAGAACCCATTCCCCCTTGTCCTGTAACTACATATCCTTGCTAAAAGTCCCTGTCCTGCTTTCTTGCAGTCCCCCTTTTGTTACTGGAAGGTGCTCTGAGGTCTCCCCAGAGCCTTCTCTTATCCAAATGCAACAACCCCAACTCTCAGCTGTTTATTCATAGAAGAGCTGTGCATAGTCAGGAGTAAAAGAAAGTCAGATGTGCTGTGAACAAAGTAAATTACCAGCAAAACTCTGGCAAGGCATTGCCAAGCAATGACTATGTACATGGCAGGGCAGGCTGCCCTGTTCTCTCCAACATTTGCTGTCAGACATCTCTCACTACCCCAAGAATTGAGGTGACCTACGTGAGTTGTAGTGAAGTGACATATTTTGTTCCTCAGATTATTCCTTACACTGTCCTCTTATAGATTTACTGCCCAAAGACACTTGTCCTTCAGTGACAACATACAGCTAGAATTTCATCTATCTGCCGTTTTAGCAGCATCACTAACACTGACAGCCTGACGACTGAAACCATCTAAAAGGCAATCACTAATACTACTGAAAAGAGCAGCAGAAAAGGAATCTGCTACTGAGTATATAAGCTTATATATGTTCTGAACATTTTTTAGGTGATAGATGGTATAAGTATTTGATTTGCTTGTTCACTTTGCTGCTCAAACATTTGTTAATTGCACATTTGTTATTTAAAAAAAAAAAAAGCAGGGCTAAGCCATGGGAAGAAAGCCTGCCTTTTAACATATTCCTGGATGCTGAAGTGTGGGACAGCTCTAGGAGAGGTGAATTGTGCACACGTGATCAAGAGGCAGTTCTGTGTGGGATACCAGGTCAAGCAGGTTGAGTGTGGGGAGAGAGGGAGGGAAGAAGCCATCATAGCTGGCAGGTTTCTGAGAGCCAGGGGTGAGAGCAGAGCTGAGGGATAAACAGCCATGGTTACCAGAGGAAAGAGTTAATAGGTATCCAGTAAGGGATCTGTGCAGTAGGATCAGCTGAAGCCACTAAACCTGCTGGCAGGAGAGGCAAGTCTGGGGAGGGTCCACCATGCAAGGACATAGTAGACAAAGATGAAGACTTGGCTGCTGATCTTGCAAATGTGAAAAAAGCATCTATTTCTATCTGAGAGCTCTGTCTGTTGCAATATTCCGCCATAATGGAAGTTCTCAGGAAATTCCTCTTAAAATGATAAAGGAAAGACTTAAAGATATGCTTGATGGTAGCACAGCTTTAATAAGAGTGCTAACTCTAGTAAAAATACTGTAATTTACAGCATACAAAATTCACACCTGATCTGAGCATTGAACATCACAGCTGTTGCAAGGTTTTTTGTTGTTTTTTCTACATTAATTACTGAGGTCCTTATTTCTACTAGCTGTTTCTGATTAATATATCTTTGACCCAGGAAGTAATGAAATATGAGCTTCCCTGTCACAAAAAGATGAAAGCACTTAAGCTTTGGGTAGGAAGTTTTTTCAGCCCTTCTGAATTTTCTTGTTGATATGCCAATACTTGTGAATGCAGCCCAGTAAATTCAGACTCTTGTCCTGTCGTTGCATGCATATGTGTGTTCAAGTATGGAACTGGAAACTAAGAACGACTTGTGTATGGAGACACACAATTAGTCCTGATATATCAGCATTTCCAGGAGATGAAAGCCTGGATTGAGTGAAGAATTAGAACAGTCTAAGTGAATGATATCAGTATTACTCAGACTTTGCCCTATTGTCATTTCCTGAGGAATTCATGGCACAAAGTGCAGACAAATGTAATTAGCAAAAATCAGGGATTAATTACTTCTTTGTCATGGATGTCAACAAGTAACATCTCATATTTTTTTACAAACTACGTTTTGGGAACCCATTTTAAAAATTACTTCCATAGTTCTTGCTTTTGGGTTGGAATCTTGATCTGATTGACCCACCAAGGTGCTCTAAATAGTGAGTGCAGAATGCCAACAAGGGTTCTACTCAGGAAGAATCCTGTGACCTCTTTTCTTTCACTTCTCTATTTCAGAGGCCATGTTTGGAGCAGTATTGCTTTACAAGACAGATGTCTTAACTCCATGGCATTTCTGTGAAATTTGCTTTCTTCAAGCACTTGGCTACCACACGTAGGAAAAATATACAGAGGAGAAGATAATAACTACTGAGCAATTTTGAAAGGGCATGAAAAAATAAAGGCGAGGAAGTAAAAGACAACAGAATGATTTGTGTGGAGGTTTTTTGGGAGGGTAAAGTAGGGAAAATAAATTCACATGTCTCAATAATAATAAAATCAAAGTTTGAAGGAGGAATTAATTTTGAGAAGGATGGTCAAGAAGAGTCTGGAATCATGCATATCACTGAAAAGAATTTTAATGCAAAGAAATGCACCAAAAATCTAGCTGAGTGATAACAGAATCAGCCAGGCAATATAAACTGATGAGCCTAAAGGTGTTAGAGAGAATGAGCTTGTGAGAGTGAGCATTTCTTTAATATAAAGAAAAAAGAGCACTTAGGCAAGCATGGTATGGTGGTGATCTTTGTAGACAAAAGGTGACTGAAATAAGCTAAGCTACAAGAAGGAAGAAATCGAAGCAGTTTTAGAATGAGATCTCTTCAATGATAATAAAATGAAGAAATTTATCTCTGGATCTGAAAAAAAAAGGTACATTCAAAAGGCTTTTTGTGGAGATCAGTTTTTTCCTGGTGAGAGGATTAACAGGTCACCAATGATAGACAATTGATAGACGAATCTCAAATGAAAGGAAGAGTGTAGTCCACCTATTCTTCAGGATTTTAAGATTCAGAGCTTCTGGAGAGACCTTACAGGATGAGAAGGATTAAATCTAGCAGTGAAAATCAGATGATTTCAGATGATGAGGTAATTTCCTCAAAAGCAAGAAGAGGTCACATACTACATACTGGCTTCGAGCAACATATTAAATGTGACAAGATTTGAGTTAGTAACACTACAGAGAAGATCTCAAGAAAATACATTTAAGGCACAGAACCTGAAATATGAAGAAGCAGAAAAATAAATCAGAAAGAAGATTGCTACTGTTTATAAAAAGCAGTTTAATACTATACAAGAAGAAAATACTTGCCATTACAGGTGGTCTCTGACTCTCTCCCCCGAAACCTGCTTAGTGCTTCAAAATGCATATCCAGATATCCCAAAATTTCCCCCTTAAAACTCCTGTTATAATTGCCTTCCTTACCAAAACACAAGGAGCCAGAAAGTGCACTGCAAGGCTCTATAAGAATCAGACCAGAAGGAAAAGGGTCAGTGGATGATGCAAAGTATCCAAAACATTACTCTAGCGAATTTTTTTTTTCCAATGGAATAGGAAACATGTGCAGAAAGCTCTGTCATGGAGCTATACAAGAATAGGATTGACCAAAATTTGATATCATTCTCATAGATCAAAACAGATCAAAATAATCCTCTGCATTCAACACAAAACTCTACTTATTTACAGTGACATTTTCTACTGGATATGTAGGCACATGCATTTGTGGGGTGCTTCTTTTTTTTTTTTTTTTTTGTGGGGTGGGATTTACAGTAGATAACATGAACTAAAAGCATTCCCAAACTCTCTTTCCAGGGAGTTTTTCAGCTATCCTCATTGATAAATGTCAGTTTAGGAACAAACTATTCTCCCAAGACTGCTGCTCTAGCATCTTAAATTTAGGAGCTAGAACTCATCTGATCTGCCTTAAGCTGTTAAAAAAGCTTAACTTCCTGTCTAAGATTAATCTTTAGACTTATTTCTGTAATCAGTGGGAAGTTAGCAACCCTAACCAGTGAGTGGGAAGAGTGTGGTTCAGTTTGGGAAGACTTTACGCTTGGGGAACTTGGCTTTTGTTACTGATTACAGAAAGATCTAGATGAGAGGTCATTTAAAAAGCAGGTCTCTAGTCTAAGTTAAAATTACCTGAGCTGAAGCCCTCCTTGTTAATTGAATCCTGATGATTAACCCTTAAAGTAACATTCAGATTCGTAACAGTATGTTTATGCAATAAATATGACAATTGTGTTCATAACCAGGCAGCCAGAGCAGTAGAATCATCAGAAAATAAATAATCAGCTTCACATCCAAAAATACAACAGTATGTTGTATACAAAAGAACCCAAAACAAAACCCAAGCTTCTTTCCAGATAATGACTAGCTGTCATCAGGAAAAGAAATGGACTTTATTCTCATTTCCAAGGGATGAAATCTGGATCTGCTGGGGTTTTTGTTTTCGTTGATCTTTTTTTGAAAAGACTTAGGCAACATTTGTTCTCATGACACAATCTCCTTCATTAGGGCAGCATGCGCATGGCTCAGTCCCGGGGTATGAAGCATGCGCAGGTCACATCATCCTCCATGAGAATGGCTAGGACAGTGGTTCCCACCCACAGCTTCATGTACTGCTGCCTGTCTCCTTCAGAATCCTCCTGCTGGTGTTAGCTACTCTTCCTCCCCTTGGAACAGTGGGCCTGTTTCATTTGTCTCTCTTACATTCAATAAAATGTGATTCCCAGCTTCCAACACAG